TTTTAGCCGCAAATTTGTGGGGTCAGAACTACATTTACGTTGCAGTGGGTTCTTGTAGTTTCGTCGTGACGGCGACGGGAGCAGAGGAGGATCTTTGGCAGTTCATCGTACAGCAACCGCACCGCCATGGGCTGCTGCCCTTAGTTTTCCGAGTACGGGCTAGGCGACCAGCCCTGGGTTGGGCCAGTGTATGGCCGGCAGTGAGGTGACATCATGTAGCGGCCCGGTGACAGCGAACGGGAAGATCCTCGGGGCGTGCACTGCTCTGCTGCGAGGTAGTTGGCAATGTCGCGTGTTCTTTCCCCCGCTGCGGACAAGGCGCGTCTATTGCGAAACCAGGCAGTCTCATCTGGCGATACTGGCAGCAGTGGTATCCGCAGTGGTAGTAGTGAGATCGGTGGTTCGGAGCATGCTACACGTCACTTTTCCTTGGAGCGTTGCGCTGGGCAGTGGGTGGATGGTATGGCGTCGACGGTAGCGGTGGCTGGCAGCGGAACTGCGACGGTGCGGCCTCTGGACGTTGGCGTGAAGGGGGAGTGTAGCGTCGGGCTGCAGCAGCGTAGCTCACTGCTTGTGATTGAGATTGCGGTGCTTCGGAAATTTGAAGCGATTGCCGAACTTCTTCACGGACAATGTCAGCGATCGAGTTCACTTGAAGCTGTGCTGAGGGTAACAGCTTGCGCAGCTCCTCTCGAACGATCGCTCGGATAGTCTGGTGCAGGTCTTCGGAGCAGTGTGGTCGCACTCCTACGTATTCCGGCGTCGAGCGGCGATTGAATTGTCGGGTGCGCACCTCCAGCATCTTTTGAATCGTTGTCACTTCGGAGTTGAATGCCTCAACAGTGCACGGTGGGTTTCGCATCAGACCCGCGAACAGCTCCTGCTTTAGTCCTCGCATGAGGAAGCGAACTTTTTCGTCTTCAGGCATATCGGGGTCGGCGTGCCGGAGGAGCTAAGTTATCTCTTCTGCAAAGAGCACCACATTTTCGTTTGGAAGCTGCGAACGAGTTTCAAGCAGCTCTTCGGCTCTTTTCTTGCATATGACGCTTGTGAATGTAGCGAGAAACATTGTGTGGAACATGTCCCATGTTCTCAGGGTTCACTCGCGATTCTCAAACCATGTCTGAGCAGCATATTGTAAGGCGAAATACGCATGATGAAGCTTATCTTCGCTGGTTTAGCCACTGAAAATGGCCACTCGATCCTATGCCTCCAGCCAACTTTCCGGGTCTTGAAGATGAACAGTGGAAGGTAGGTGACTCTTTGGGTTGCCGGAGCAGGATCGGTGCAGACGGCACAGGGTCTCATCGTTGGTGCAGCCATGGTCAGGATCTTGGTCTGCCGGGTCTCATCAGGTAGAGGCCCGAACTCTGGCAGTAGACCTTGTTGCCTGCGGCTGGTTCGCTGCTCGGGGTTGTCGTCGATGTCCTCACCACTGACGCTGGCTTCACGGCTTGACGGGGGCGTCCGGTACATGGAAGGAGCAGCACCTCCACCAGATGTCACGGGGTCGTGACGTGGACAAAGGGAGCAGACTGCAGGTCAGGCAATAAACTGTTTATTTGGGCGAAACTTGTGGCCACGTAAAAGGAAAGTCGGATTACAGCAAGACACTGGCACTGATAGCGGCGAGCAGAGCGTCGGCCGTCAATCAACTGACAAGCGGCGAAGCACGTCGGCATTCATACACTTGTCATGGAATGTTCTAGCGTTATTGCTGGCGGTTCCGTAGGTTCCAGAATAATCTGCTATGTTCACGAAGTGGGCGTAATCTTAACAAAACGATCTACTACAGCCTCGAAGCTTTTCGAGCATTGTAGGTGTGATTTGCACTAAACATAGTGTAATGGGGTGATAACAAAACTTGAAAGGAACGTGGCATTACCCCCCCTCTGGAAAGGCATCGTCCCGATGCTTTAACAAAAGATGAAGGTACAATAATAAAGACAATAAACAATAAGTACAAGCAATAAAGCACAGCACTCCGCGACAGCCGACCCGTCACGCAGCATCAAGACAGCTTCTGGTTTGATGGCAGCAGCGCAAGAAGCTTCCTCTAGCAGACGAAAATGCGTAGTCGCCGTGGCATGACCCCGTAGCGGCCTTTCAGAAAGAGCTTTGCCAACACTATATTATCGGGATTTTTTGTTGTGTTGCTACAGAAACGTAATACTTTGCAATATTTAGCGGTGTAAGGCAAAGACAGTATAATTATGGCTTTCTGAACTGCCCACGATAAACGATGCTTGATATCGAGCATAACATACGAGTCTGTCCATTAGTACCTACTTGGTGTACGTTTGCGATTGATTTTTAGGTGCAAAAAACACAATCACAAAATGTCCTGTGTTCTCTATCGTGACTTTGTTTTTCGTGCTTTAAAATAAATTATAACTATGTAGTGCAATTCCATGGCTTTTGTATGGTTCTATAGTCGGCTCTTTTTTTTTTTTTTTTCATGCCACTCACATTCTTTAGCAACGTAGACCATCAAAAACCTGCGAATATGGCCTTTTTACTGAGCATGTCTTCCCTCTGCTTCATCTTGGGTTCCTGTAATAAAGCCTGTTAACACAGGTTAAACCAAAGCTTCGAGGAAGGACCGCACTTAGGGGTATCGGTGAGCACTTCACAGTCATTACTCACAAGGCTGCCTGCTGACGAATTGAGACAACCTGAACACGCTTTCAGCTTTTCTATGTCCTGCCAAAGTTCGTCCAATTGGATGATGATATCTACATTGCCGGGCAACTTGGCTAAGCGACGGTGATGGCTGCTAATGGTGGCTGTGATGTTTTCTGCGATGACTGCTCATCTCTCCATAAATAGCACCCTTTTTTTCTTTTTTTGAGCACTGGAAACATCACAAGGTCCTGTCTCGCCATTCTCAACAAGTTTTCGCCAGCATGCAGCAGGCAAACAAACATTGTCTATGTGTTAAAGCTAAGTGGCACCACCTGTTGACGTGTCGGGACTTACTTCACTGTTTTCGGGCACAGTGCTCGGAGATAGTCGGTTCTTTTTCGCCGATGATATTCCAGCAAGTCCATCACACTTATCGGGCAGCTTTCGTTTCTTTGTCGTGGGTATTGAAAGGAAAATGGGAAAATTTGGAAATAGCCATTGAACGCTTTTCGACAAGGTCCCACTTTTCTCTGGCAATTTGTACCTTCTTATCATTCATGACGTGAGTGAAAGTCATCAGGACGTCCTCCTCATGAAAGCGCATATCACACACGTGATGTGTTAGACAGTTTTCTATCCGCATGAGGAATAACGTGATCCCACGCCTCTCGTTGCTCATGTCCACGCAGAGTACGAAAAAAATCTCGTAGTGTGTCTGATTTTCTGTAGCTACTTGTGCAGCCGGGGGCACAACATGGGGGCAAGATTGAGACATGCCACACGTACAGAACACAACAGGGCATAGTGAAGCGCAAAACTGTTCACGTAGAAAGAAGCCTCCACGGATAGCGACGCCCTGCAACATGCACAGCCGACGGAGGTTACAGGAGTGACATGAGCGATCATGCAGTGTCTGAATCCGGATGCGACAGCAGCTCCACATTTGTCGCTGGCAGCAGCGGTGCCACGCAACATTACTTAGTTTTGCAACTTACCTAGTTCTAGAGACATTGGGAACGGCAATGGCGGGGCTAACGCAGAACAGCTCATAATAGATAGATCCGGTCACACTGGCGAAGAACAGATCTGTGAAGTGGGGCGCGGAAATGATCGCAAAGCAGTTTACTTTGTCACTATTGTAGTGTCTTAAGAACGACTATGAGCAGTCTAAACCATGGGCTTGAATCCTCCTTTGTTCTACAGGACTTATTTTCTTAAGGCCCCTTTTATAGGGGTGTTACATAAGTAATGGGGTACATGATGCAATGCGACATGAAAAACGAAAAAACGCCAGGCCTGCATAAAATGCGCAGCACAGTCACAGCAATAGCTGGAAGAGCAGCCTTTCAGAGCTTTTTTTTGAACTTATTTATACACTCTTTGTGTAACTGCTACAAGTACAATTGCTGAATACCCACTACACCATAAATAATCACATATTTTATGTAGTTGCATGGCCAGCATTCACTATGCCATCCTTCGTCGTTCTTAGGAGAAGCGTGGTGTCTGCTGCGCAGTTGCTAAGAATTTTGTGCAATTTTTTTATGCAGTAGCAGATGATGAATAATTATACCTGAAGTGGGTATGTGTCACAGTTATTAGGTGATCAAGAACAAGTTTTTTGATGGGGTGGAGCATTGGTAGACCCACTCGTTAGACAATTCACATTGTATGATGCCTGGTTGGTCCTTTCTGGCTAACCTCTAGGTCCTTCTTCCTTCCTGGTTCTTCCTTTAACATTCTAAAATGCTTTAATACTCATACTAACGGGATTCCTTTCCCAACATCAAGCCTGCCTAAGGCCAGTTAGGAAGGAGTTTCATGCAACGGCTTGGCTCAGTAATAAATTACTGGGCGGGCGTGCAGCAGACCCGGGTGTGTCGTTGGTGTTTTTATTTAGTTTTTTTTCTTATTACTTGCGATACTGGTTACAGACACCGGTGGCAGCAGACAACTACGGCGCCGCACGTGACCCGCATTTTGATCTCATGACAGATTTCACTGTAAAACCAAAGAAGCATCGGTAAAAATTTAAAGGATGTTGATACACTGTGCAAATAAAAACATGCGTTAAGTAAAGGCGCATGTTAAAAAGTTTATTAACTTGGTAACAATTGGAGAAACAACATGTAGGAATTGAATGTACAGTAACTATTGAAAATATTCCACTAAATAACATTGTACAAATCGAGACAACATAACAATCTGCATCATAGAAGTAAATGCACGGGTGAAATGATAACTTTGTACAATCAATGGTAAATAATTATGCAAAACAGAACACCCAGCAGTCTTGAATATATGGTGGTTATTTGTCGGGTTTGTGTCTTCGTTCTTTTGAACACTGGCGCAAAGCAAGGTCTTGTGTGTCACAGGTTGGAGCTGCTGCTTCACAAGGGCAAGGCCAATGAGCGTGTCTACTTCAACCTGGGCATGCTTTCCATGGATGACAAAAAGGTCGAAGAAGCAGAACAGTGGTTTCACTTGGCCATACAAGTAGGTGGCCTGCTTCTTTCAGTCATGAAATACAATAGTGCAAATCTCAAAGAAAACAATTGTATTTGTGTAATGACAGTGTGTTTTTTCGTTTAATGAATTGTCATTTTCTTCCTTTCTATCTCATTTATTTTAAAGTTGTTTATTCTGTACTTCAAGCATGCAGGGAAGGAAAACTTGGGATGTGCTTGACTTGCAGATAGCCGTGGCTTTATGCTGCCAATTTGCATTGACTCATGTCTGTTAAACACCCCTGTTCTATATGGGAGGCACTGTAGTCTTCCCATCACCATCACCAAACTGCGAGGGCAGACGCTCCCACCACCTGATGTGAGCCCATTCCTTTCATTCATGGCCCTGGTGCACTTCGATCATGCACTCCAGGTATACTTGGAAGATTAAGGCAGCGACCATGCAGAGAACTCGATTACCAAGTGGGAGCATGTGAGCCTTATCATAACTGGGACGGTGTTAGTTTTTACTTCTGCACTTGGCAATACCTTGCTGAAGCGTGTACCTTAGTGAAGTTGTGCTCTCAAAGATCTGCACGCAACACAGCACAGTCACAGTGGAAGCCGGTAAGTGGCCTCACAGGTGCACATCAAAAAATTTGTTAGAAAGCTTCCTGTTAGTAGAAAGTGAAGAAAGCAGTGGTTCAACGTGCACGCACTCATTAAGTACCACAGCTGCTCGATGAAAAACCCACGGTGAGGCCTGCCACGATGTGGCGCAGGCAGTGGGCGAGAATATAGAAGTGGAATTGACAGCTGTCGCCACATTTTGGCTGAGAGGGATGTAATAGTAAAGGCTCCATGCATGTAAAGGCTCCATGCATGATGTAATGTAAAGGCTCCATGCAGCTTGCCGGTGGCATGGAGTGAGTGTTAAAAAGAAAAGCAGGTAAGTAGAGTCGGCGGTTGTTTTTCTCCAAATGTATAATTAGCTCTGAGTGTAACTCTAGACAGGTCACGCATTTGTGGTATCTTACGTGCTAGGTGAAATGCCACTCAATCGTTGTGTGCTGCTGTGTTTGACAAACATTCTGTTAGGTTGGGATACTGCAAGCTTCAAAAAATGGAAAGCCTCTGTTAGTTAACAGGCTAACACACCCATTAAAATGGAAGCATCAAGATGTAAGCATGTCCAAGATAAAACTGTTCATTTGGCTGAACTTGGGGTTGGTAAATGGAAAGTCAGATTACAGCGATGCACACTGATACTGATAGCGGCAAACAGAGCATCGGCCGTCAATAAGCTGACAAGTGGTGATGCGCGTCGGCATTTATACATGTGCCCCTGAATATTCCAGGGTTTTCACTAGCAGCCATATAAGTTCCAAAAGAATTCGTAATGTTCGTGTTGTGTGCATAGCTGCATTGAAAGTTTGTAAGATTAGCTAGATGGTTATTAGTCGTTCAGCACAGTTTGCGTAAAGAAGCACCTACACGGGACGATAACAAGCCTTGAGAAAGGAATGTGGCATTACCCCCCTCTCAAAAAGGCATTGCCCCAATGCTTTAACAGAAGATGAAAATACAATAAAAAAGCATGAAAGTACAAGTAATAAGTTACAATAATAGAGCAAATAATTAAAAAAAAATAGTCTTTAGGTTCATTAACGCGCTAGAAACGGCTTGAGGCGCACGACATGAACAACTTCAGGTCAGGCACTGCACTGTTGAGAGCTCTTGATGCTGTCGGGGACCACCTCGTAGTCGAGTGGGCCGAGACATTGTGCTACCCTGCACAGTTCAAAGTGTCAGCGCAGAAATTCTAAATGTGAATGCATTTGTTAGTCGGGCTATGTCAGGCATCCGGCATTGTCCGCGGCGGTGCTTCATGCACTGGCAGGTGTTATCTCTTCGCTCTCACTTTCTCTCCTATAGCAACATCTGCATCTGGGGGCACGCACGCTTATTCAGGCCCCTAGCTATTGAAGCATGTTGTGCGAGAGAGTGTAGAGAAGAGTAGGTGCAGTGCTTCGCCACTCTTTTTCTCGCCTTTTGCCCTCTCTCTTTCTTGCGTCCTACTCTCTTGTCCCGCTCGCGCCTCACTCTTGACCGTTCGCTGGCTGGGTGCCTCCCAAGAACATCCGGAAATGTTTGCTCAAGACACCACTGTGAAACGCCAATGCCGAGCCAAGAACGCTGGTGCCTTACTCTCTCGTTCCGCTCTCTCTTCACTCTCGACCGTTCGCTGACTGGGCATCTCTCAAGGCGATTGCAGAAGTCGGTGAAGGCAGATGTCTGACGGCAATGGTACCCTCTCTCGGCGCAAGAAGTGCATTCTCATTTCTTCACAATTGCTTTAGAGAAGGTGAGGGCATTTTTTTCACCAAGTCAACATTGGCATATCGGCGTCCACACCCAAATACGGTCACTGGGCTGGTCGTCCATGAAGCATCGTCGAAGATTGTAATGGTGGCTTTTCGTCATTTGTTAATTCTTGATGCGGAGGCAGGCAAGTTTTCAGGCTTCTTTGGCACACTGAAGGTATACAATCACGTCGAGGCTTTCTTTGTCAGTAACATATGGTTATATGGCGTCCAGCTTTGTGGCCGGATTCTTTCCATAGACCAACTTTTATGGCATCATCTGCTTCATTTTAGTGCAATAGCAATTATATGGACACTCCAGGCTGGATGTAGTGGCCGTCGTCAGTGTCGGTGACCGTCGTTATTCTACCGTATATGTATACTAGTCTATATATATATGAAAACGCAAGAAGAAAAATAATTGAGAAAAGACTCCAGCCCGCAAAACCGAACGTCCGATTTCTTCCTTGTGAGTGCGTGGTGTTAGCCACTGAGCCAGAAAGGAGCACCTCCTTCAACGTAGAAACGGCGAGCTATTTTTATTTACCACTTACCGCTAGCGATGGCCAATCTCCGGGGAACTATCAGTGTTTTCAGCATTACCACCAGCCGGATGACGCAATGAGCACGCATTGCCAGATCATCACGATGCGGCGACGTGCGCTGATGGGTTGATCTCTCAAGCCGATTTCCCTCGTGAAAGGGGAGGGAGATGCTCATGCGTGCATGCACTCATCTTAGAAGCGCAAGCACACGTTCATAATAGAATCTTACGCCTTGGGCTTCCGCCGTAACAATTCATGTGTAGTCACCGGGCGCACAAAGGTCCCTGCACTCGTCGCACAGTCTCTGTTTGTGAAAAGGGCGGGCTTTTCAGACAAAGCGAAGTAACAACTGAGGCACTTATTCACGTTCAGCTGTACCTGATTTTCCCTCGTGAAAGGGGAGGGAGATGCTCATGCGTGCATGCACTCATCTCAGAAGCGCAAGCACACGTTCATAATAGAATCTTACGCCTTAGGCTTCCGCCGTAACAATTCATGTGTAGTCACCGGGCGCACAAAGGTCCCTGCACTCGTCGCACAGTCTCTGTTTGTGAAAAGGGCAGGCTTTTCAGACAAAGCGAAGTAACAACTGAGGCACTTATTCACGTTCAGCTGTACCTGTGAGTGTGTTTTGTGCCGCATTTTTGTGTGAGTAATGCAGTGCACATTCAATCTGCTTTCCATTCTTCACCTGACAATATAATTTGTTGCTATCACATTCATTGCTTTGTCTTTGTGGCAAAGTTGTAACTTTTCTTCTATGACCATGTTGTATGCAGAGGTAACGTACGAAAGTATGGTATTCCATTTCTTTTGCTCGACATCAGCGAACATTGCCAGCATATCTGCCATGGTCTTATTTAGACACTCGATGAAGCCATTGGTCTGTAAGAGGCAGGTGGTGGTTGGACAGTGACTTGTCTGGCTGTAATTCAGGATAGCCTGAGTTATGTGCGCAGTAAAGGGTGCACTTTTGTCGGTAATGAGAACCTCTGGAGCAGGACAATGTTCTCGATGAAGAACTTTGCTACAAGCGCTTGTTTTATTGTAGTGGGTGAGGTAGTCAGTAGCTAAAACGATTCATTTGTTTCTGAAATTCAATGCCTGGAGTAGCCCCTGTAAGTCCATGCAGATTTGCTGTGACAGCCCACAAGGTGGGTCGATGTGCTGAAGAAGTCTGGCTGGCCTTCTCAGCGGTATGTGTCTTTTTTCACTGACACTCGCGGCAAGTCTTCGTATAGTGGGTGACTGTGGCAGTTAGACGAAGGCTGGTAATATTTTTCTTGTATCTGAGGAGTAGTTTCTTGATTCGAAGATATAGTTGGCTCAAAGTGACAAGAATTTTTTCTATATGAGAACGCCGTTCGACAAGGCAAATCACTCAACTTTTCGTTTGAATATGTTTGGAACATTGGTGGCTGTGCCCTTGAGGCATATTTCAAAAGGCCCTTGAATCCCAGGTTGGCTCTTTGTCCTTCGGTGAAATTATTAACGCGTAAGGTTGCCAAGAAGGAGTTGCCGTTCTCGTTGTCCTCTAGTGGTAGGTCAAGGGGGGCACGAACAAGCAGTTTGTGTCTGAGCATTTTCATCGGAACTTGTATATGACGGTAATATAGAATTTTCGAATAGCGTATGCTGTCAGCATTCGTTGTGATCGCTTTCTATTTTCGTCACTTGATGAGATCCCGTGAGTGTAGCATATGAAGCATTAGCAGTGGGGCAAAACGCTAACGCTAAGTTTTGCGCAGGCCAATTTGAAAACTCCTATGTTGAATTATTGAAGTTTTATAATCTATAGCTCGAGACAACCTGAAGAGTACTTCAAGTTTACCACCACACGGCATGGTGGTCGCTCACAACTTTATTAGGCATTCCATAGAGGTAGGGGCAACACTTTGACATAGCACAGATGATGGCAAGGCACTTTCTTTAAGTTGTGTAGTAGTTGCCTTCTGCCTTGGATAGCGACCGGCTAACATCCCGTATTTACTTGCATAATGAAACCCCCCCCCCCTCTTTTCAGAAATGTTGACACCAATTTGGGGGGAGGGTTCATTGCACGGAATAAAAAAGTCATGGGAGTTAAAACAACAAAAATATCGCATCACGACTTTGCTTGTTTTTGGCCCGAGAAACGCACA